GGTGCTGTGACAAGCCAGGCCAACGGCTGACTCCCCTACTAAGCCTCTCCTCCACTCTACTCTTGCAGCCCAGAATCTGCTTGTGTCCCTGGTCCTGGTCCAGCTGGCCCGGCCCGACCCCAATCCCAGTGCTGCTACCATCTCTCAGACCTACAACCTGGCCCGGCTGCTGCAGGCCAACACCACGAAGCTGCTCAACACCTACGTGAGTGCTGGGCCCCCAGGGTGGGAGGGGGCTCGGAGGCCTCTAGGGCCATTCATGGGTAAGGCTGTGTGTCTGTCACGGAGGTCACGGAGTCCATGACTTTCCTTGACCTCCGTGACTTCTGCAGGAGCAGCAGCAGTTTGGATGTGGGAGGGGGCTCAGGGCTGGGGTGGGGGGTGGCGCTTACCTCGGGAGGGGGGTTGCCCGGCTCCCACTGGCATGTCCCAGCAGCTCCTAGGCGGACGGGCCAGGGGGCTCCACGTGCTGCCCGCGTCCGCCAGCACCGCCCCCGCAGCTCCCATTGGCTGCAGTTTCCGACCAATGGGAGCTGCGGAACCAGTGACTGTGGCAGCAGCAGCACGCGGAGCCCCTGGCCCCTCCACCTAGGAGCTTCAGGGACATGCCGGTCCGAGCCAGGAAGAGCCTGTCAGCCCCGCCAACCCTCCCTCCCCGACCACCAGCAGGGGTCCTGGGGCCACACACCACTGCCTGGCCCCCTCCCGCCCAGCACCAGTGGGCGTCTTGGGCTGTGAATTTTTGTTTTCTGCCCGTGACCTGTCCATGACTTTTACTAAAAAATACCCATGACTAAAACGCAGCTTTATTCATGGGCCAGGAAGCCCGGGGCTCCACTCTCTCTAGCCAGCTCCCCTGGAGGGGGCAGGCCCCCTGTCCCATTCCCCGCCCCCTGAGCCAGTGCCCGGGGAAGACACATATGAATGGTTTAATCCAGTCTCTTGGTGAAGCCTCCAATGGCCTTGTCCTTCTGTCGAGGTCCTTCTCCCCCGACAATGCCGGCGGGGGGGGGGAGGGGGAGGAGTGTCATGTTTTGGCCGCCCCACCTGGGGCCCCTTGGCACCAGCCCCAAGCTGGAAGATGCCAGCTCAGGAGTTCACGCCCAGCTGAGCACCCAGCCAACACGCTCTCTGCAGCCTGGAGCCCAGCCAGCAATTCCAAAGCTGGGCTGGTGCTGGTACGACCCACCCCGGGAATGCCAGGGTGCCAGGTGGTGATGGGGTAGGGTCCAAGACCCGCCTCCCAGCGCAATGGGAATTCCCACCCCAGGCATCCCCCCCAGAGGACCCAGTTCTCTCCCCCCTCCCATTCTGCCTCTGCATGTCTATGCAGTCCCCATTCCAGGTTGGAAGGGGGTGTCGAGGGAGGAGGTGGGGTCTCTGTGGGGAGGGAATGGGGGGATTTGAATCAATCTTGGGGTGGAGCTGGGATTGGGGTAGGACAGGAGTTGTGGGGGTTAACCTACTGGGGGAGGACAGCACATGCCCTGACCGCCCCTCTTTTCTGTGTCTCCCCCACAACAGCTGAGCACCCAGGGCTCCCCGTTCAGTGACCCCGGTTTCAGCGCCCTGGGGCTGCGGTGGGCGGGGGTGCCGGTGGCCACCTTCCCGTTCCTGGCCTGGCGCACCATGGGCGACTCGGAGCGGCTGGCGCGGAACTACGGGGCCTATGCCACCTTTGACGCCTTCCTCCAGCTGGTGTGGGATGACCAAGACGAATTGTGCCCCAACTGCTCTGAGCTGCTGGCCATGCTGGGCACTGCCCGGGCCCGGACTCGAGGTCTCCTGGCCAACCTGACCTCCATTATGGCTGCCATGGGCATCCCGACGCCCCCGGCCACAGACCCCTTGACCTCAGAGGCAGCTGGGGTGGGGGCATTTGAGAAGAAGTGCCGGGGCTACGTGGTATGCCGGGAGTACCATGGCTGGGTTGACCGGACTGTGCGTGACTTCACCCTGCTCAAGGCCAAGTACCCAGCCTAGGGGGCGCCACCATGCCAGGCACTGTCTGTGAGCAAAGAGACTGGACCATGCATTTCCTCTTGGCCTAGAGGATGCTTCCTGTTGGCTGGGCCAATGCACTTCCTGTTGACTTATAGACCGGGCCATGCACTTCCTGTTGGCTGGGCCATGGATTTCCTGTGATCCTATAGACTGGGCCATGCACTTCCTGTTGGCTGGGCCATGGATTTCCTGTGATCCTAAGGACTGGGCCATGCACTTCCTGTTGGCCTATGGACTGGGTTATGCACTTCCTGTTTGTCTAGAAGATGGTCAATACACTTCCTGTTGACTTGACCATGTGCTTCCTGTTGGCCTAGAGCAGTGGTCTCCAAAGTGGGGTGCGCGGCAGGAGGAGCGCTTTTTTTTTTGATTCATCGGGCGGGAGTCCGAGTGCCTTTTTTTTTTTGCTTCGGCGTGGCGGGGGGGCGTGCTCAAAATTTTTTTACTGATAGGGGTGTGCGATCAAAAAAGTTTGGAGACCACTGGCCTAGAGGATGGCCAATACACTTCCCGTTGGCCTATGGATTGGGTCATGCATTTCCTGTTAGCCTAGTGGATAGCCAATCCGCTTCCTGTTGGCCTATGGATTGGGTCATGCATTTCCTGTTGGCCTAGTGGATAGCCAATCCGCTTCCTGTTGGCCTATGGATTGGGTCATGCATTTCCTGTTGGCCTAGTGGATAGTCAATGTACTTCCTGTTGGCCTAGAGGATGGCCAATACACTTCCAGTTGGCTTGACCATGCCCTTCCTGTTGGCCTCTGCTTCAGGGATCCATCACGTGCAGGGGGCCCAAATAGGATTGCTGGCCTCCTGGCTAGGCCACGCACTTCCTCTGGGCCTGAAGAATAGCTGATGTGCTTCTGGTTGCCCAATAATGTGGCACATGCACTTCCTGTCCTAAGTTTCCGATCAACCTTATTTCCTCCCCTCCATAACAGGGATAAATGAGTCCAAAGGTGGGTCTTTTTGGTCAGTGGATTTTTCTCCTCACGTCAGTTCTGGGCCAAACTGAGATGGGGAAAGAGCCTTTTGTGACAGATGTGATGATAATTATCAGAACAATAATGCCCAACTCTTACCTAGTGCCGGCCATCCATAGATCTCAAAGCGCTTCACAGGGGAGAGCGCTATCTTTACCCCAAGTTTACAGATGGGGAAACTGAATCCCCGGCAGGGGGACAGTGACCCGCGGAGCCAGGAGTAGAACCTAGGAGTCCACGGCTTTAAGTCCTAGGCCACAAAATCCATTACGTGTGTGTAAAGAATATTAATGGATCACTCGATGATTCCCTGGTCTGTTCAGTCCCTCTGGGGCACCTGGCATTGGCCACTGTCTGCAGACAGGGTACTGGGCTAGATGAACCTTTGGTCTGACCCACTCTGGCCGCTCTTATGTTCTAATATATATTTTAAAATCCCATTGTATTTATGTCCAAAAGAAGCATTTATCTGGATTATTTATATTATTTAACAGCCGAGGGAACGTTGACTTGAATGTGGGGCTTCTAATACTTTGGACACCTCTTGAGTCCACATCAAGAGAAAATTGCTGTAGGTTTGCTGAAGGGAACCAAGAGAAATGTTCAAGAAGCACTTTATAAAGTGATGTGAGGTACCGAGGTGGGAATCCAAGCCAGTGCTAAAATGCAGCTGGCTCTGGGGTGGGCAGCTGGGGAACAGCTGCTCAGGAACGCTCCATGAGGATGTTGCGAGCCGTAAAATTTGATGCCTTAAAAATCATGGTCAAGTCTTGCTACCTGTGGAATTTCCTAGGATACTGTATTAATTTATTGACTTTTGTGGATGTCGCTGCTTGATTACAATAAGCCTAGATGGTACTATTGTCCAACACTTGTCTCTCTACGTTGTATATCTGCTCAGGGTTGTTATTCCAGGGTGGGTGCGTAGCAGCACAGATAGAAAGAAGGTTGTCTGCCTTAAAAACATGGGCTACTTCTGTATGAGCTCAGGGGAACCGCCATTAGCAGTACGGGGAATATGAAACATAGTGGAGCAATTTTGATTCTAGCCCGTAGAGGGTCATAGTCTTTCTCTCTTTCTCACACGCATACACGGAGAGATGCAAACACAGCCCCACTTCCCCCCATCAGGGGGCAATGCTGGAATTCCTATAAACTCTCACGGCTCACCCATGTCTCTGCCATTGTGTCACGGGGAATTTCTTTAAAACTGGTTTCTTCGACACTCAATAAAAGCTCTGTTTTTTCTGAGATAATACGCTTGTGCGGGGATCTCTCCCCAGCTCTGGGAGGGGAGTGGGGTCTGGTGGGTT